AGCCGGGAAAAGAAGCCGACCCGAGGTAATCTAAACGGAGAAAGCCGAGAGGGAACGGCCAGAAACGCGAGGAGAAATCGGAAGCGAAGACGGAAACCGTAGTACGTGCAAGTGATCGTTCTCCGTCGAGTGATCAAATTTCCGAGAGGTCAATCGCTGCACCGACTGCGATTTTGCCGCAAAAATGAATGAGTTCTGGGGGTTGTGAGAAAACGGTAAATAAAAATATTAGAACGGTGTAAATCCAACGGTGTTAGAGATGATGTGCCCCTTTGAAGCTCGGGAGAAAAGGGTAAAATGACCCCGAGGATAATTCCAGCATCTCCCGAAACACTAGATAGAAAGCTGGTCAATGGCTCACTTTAAAGCGAATAGTCAGGCAATCATAATTTATTTAATGTGTCTCAACGATAGAAAATGTTGCAATTTTATGAAATTTCATAAACTTTCAAGTCTTTGACTTAAGATATTCCACAATAAGAAACCTTGTAACTCGTCCTGACTCGAAGTTTCTTTCTTGCTCTACGACTGGTATTGAAACTGCGGCCCAGTTCATTACTTAATGCGGCTCGGTACGACGTCCCGACGATCGACTTTTTTGGTCATTGCTAAGTTATTCGGATACTTATAACTACGCGTTTCCATGTAGATGTTTGTGCATTCGAGTGTGGTCCTGCCGAACCTGTCTAAAATTTAGAGAATTCATATACTGCTAAGATGAAGGTCTTAACCTTCCCGGCAAATAGTAAGAGATAAGATTTAAAAAAAAATCTTTATCGCACGGGTGACTCGCCTCAAAGTATTCGATACACCCGTGATGTGTCGTAGCGATGGTGAACCCATATGGGCACGGCGTGGAGCTTATGTCGGAACCGAAGTGATTGGGGCCGCCTCGCTCACCAGACGTCGAGACGTCTCGTTTTTATCTTCGGGGAATGCCGAATAGTAAGACAGACACGCGAACGCCGTAGGAACCGAAGGATGACACATCCGCAGTCATTGCGGCCATCACTCGAGATCGGTTACGAAAAGCGTACACGAATCCAATCGAGAGGGCCCATGTGCGTATACGGGAACAGGGCGACCGTTACCAGAATCTGTTAGAAATGTTATTAAATGTTTCACGTTGCGCTAATGAGGATATATACGAGGTGCGATCAAAAAGTTCCAAGACTTAATTTTTTACGACGCTGTGGCGACTCGTTCCGACTACCGACGGTCATATCCTTCGAAGTAAGTCCTCTTCGGCATCGACACAAATTTTCCGGCGTTTCTTCAGCCGCTGGAAGCATCGCTGACACTCATCTTGTGGATCATCATGAACCTTCTCCACGTAGTCCCCTTTGACTGAACTGATGATGCCTGAACTGCGGATTGATTACCTGAACCACCCCAGGCAAAAAAATTGTATAGACTCTCTAAAGAAAATATTCTATAAGGTCGTATATAATTTCTATTATTTCCCTCTTAAAGAATTCTATAAAATCGCAGTATGGAAATTCTACGGAGATTCTATAGAAATCCTACCAAAAATCTTACCAAATTTCTAGAGAATTCTACAGAATTTCTACAGGACTGTAGGCATTTTTTTGTGTCACTGTCTAGAAAGTGTGCAGAATTTATATTGCATTTCATGAGCTTCTGTAGTCAACGTATAAAATATCTATCAAAGTTCTATCAAATGTATTTGAAAAAGGTAGATGCAAATTGGGTTCTCAAAGGAAAAGAAAAAGAATTAAAGGTAGCCTTTTTTTCTTCGACATCAGCTCGTAGGAAGGTCATTTATAATTTGTATAGAATGTGAAGAGCCTTTTAGAAGGCTCTTGTCTGATTAATTAATGATGAACTTGTGAAACCATGGGCATATGGTGGTGGTGGCATGTGACATGGGTCGTATTTGTGAACTACCGAAATCATGGGGATCATGCATGGGAGAGTCGTTCCATCTCGAATGGTGCAATTTTAAAGATCTGCGCCAGCTGAGATGAGGCTGTCAGATGAAAATGAACTTTAGAATACGGGAAACTGGACGAACCAAAACGCCTCTATCTGGCCCAGAGCCTCGAGTCCTCCCCTGGCTCTTGGGCGATGGATAAGGGACATCGCATGATGCACGCAGTACAGAAGTATACGTACGTACGCAGGGAGGCAGGCCACGCCGGTTGCATCGCGCGCGAATGGGTGACTGTTAACAAGTACGCCGTCTTGACTTAAGGTTCCTTTGCTTTTAGGTATGTCTTTAGGTTCCTTTGCCGAAATTAGAAAGCTGCTCGGTCATCCTAATCCGCATTTCCAATACGTATCTATGTAGTTTCCACGAATGAAAAAGACAGAATATATAGTCTTCGTCATCACTATACGTAGATGAGCTAGATGCGTTTTTGTTTTTTTTATTAAGGAGAAGTTCCGAAACTCGCAAGGGATGTAAGTCGTGGAACCGATCATTTTCTCCTTGGACCGGATGCACCTCGATACGCTCGAAGAGTAGCTTCAAGTGTTCCAAGGATCTTCGATTTCCGCTCTCCTTTTTCATGTTTTCGATTCGATATACCGGGTAAACTGCCAACACGGACCGTTCAGTCTTTTATATCGACTACTTGCCACTTGAAGCAGTGCAGGCAACAAGAATGACCTAAACACACCTTTCGTGCTTCATGCTCCAATGGTTTCTTGTTCATCGTGATGGCGTGCTGGCCACCCCAGATTTTCGTCCACTCGCCGCCACTGTTTACCCACCCGATGGCATCCTTCCCGCTTGCGCGGTTTCTAGCCCCTATATCTTACTTACTAATCTGTATAGAGTCTTATCTAGATGCAATGAGTGGTCTATTGAATTCTATAAAACTGCATTAAAAACTCTATAGAAGTCTATAGGTCTCTCGACGACATTTTAGCCTGGGACTGTGGTTCGGGGCATGAATCCGCAAGTGTGAATCGCGGTGGCAGAAATGCATCCACCTCAAAGGGGACCTACGTGGAGAAGGTTCATGATGATCCACATGAATGAATGTGTTGTCGCGTCTGGAACTTCTGGTGCATGTGTTCCTTTCACTGCCTGTATTTTCTTAATCACGAGAGAGAGCAACTTGTACTTCCGTGTGTGCATTGCGTATTTATTATACATTGAAGGAAACTGGATTCGATTTTCGTGGCAAACACATTAAGAAAATTATAGCCAGAGTCTCGATACTTTTGGTACGCCCTTCGTAATTTCCGCACCTGATATCGCTAGGGGAGGGTATGGCGCCCCCGTGCTGTTGCCCTTCCCCCCCCCCACCGACCCCTCAGCCAAAATACCCCACGGTCTCCTAGTAATTTATTTTTGTTCCCTAAGGTAAAGAATGGGCTGAAATGGAGGTTTCAGGCATTCAAAGCAAAATTGTAAACGCGACGCAGGCACTGCTGGTGATTCCAAAATGAGTGTCAGCAGTGCTTCTGGCGGCTGAAGAAACACCGGAAAATTTGTGTAATGCCGAAGAGGACTATAAAGGATAAAACCATCAGCAGTCGGAAAGTCACCACAGCGTCATAAAAAATTAAATCTTGAACTTTTTGATCACACCTCGTATGTCCAAGTATTGACGGTTGCACCTTCAAGTAAGCCATTCTGTGTTTAGCAGTATGGCGTAAGCTCCAGAACCACGTCCATAACGGAGAACTAGACAACTTATTTAATCAATCAGTTCCCTCAGCACCAATCCATGCACATATGAGGACCTTCATTCATTACAGAACCTGTTCAAGAGAAGTAAATTCCTTGCACAGTGAATATGTTTTTATTTTCCTCAACGTGTAACACAGATGTGAGATCCACAGTTTCATTATTTCATAAGGCATGCAGAGATGAGATTCTTAGCATGTCAAAAACTTGTGACAAAAAATCACATCAACAGGGCATGCTCCTCGAGTGCACGACAGCTTAATACATCACAGCACATCACAACCGCTGTTATCGACTAGATGATCCAGAATCACTCTGGACGTCTGCAACATAGAGCAAACCCCTAAAGGAAGTAAAAAGCTAGCCACAATGGAATTCTAAAGAGGTCCTCATACAGAATGCAAAACCAACACTAGTGCCAGGTTAAGCAAGTGCATGATAATAAAAAATATATATATTTTTGCAACCAAAAAAATATTCATGGACCAACTGAACATTGCATGATTCAGGAATTATGATAAAGTATTTATGGCCAACATTCAAGCAAAACAGGAGTCAGTAGGACAAAGAAAGCAAAAGCAATCATTTGGCTTCAATAGTTATGCACAAGAAGAGAGAGCCAGAATTCAGAGACAAACAATGGATTTAAAGACACCAACACTTTGTCGAAATCAGGGCCAAAATAGTTCAATATAGCTTCCAAAACTTTGAAAAAAATCCAAGCAAATCACTATCACTGGTCATTAGTCCTGTCAAAAATTTGTTGGGAGATGATGCCCTACTATATGATCTTGCTTGCAGATTCCAGAGGTTCTGGAAGATGGTGTTCCCAAAACTGCTTAATCACAAGGGTGTAATTGGATTTATTCCACGGCTGTAATTCGGCACAGAATCCTGAAGGTCTTGTGCAACTATTGTCATCTTGCATTGGAATATATCAAAGCTGTAAAAAGCATAAATATGGTCAATGAACATCCTTGATTGGCACTTTTCTTTATTAGGTAGTTTAGGGAGCATTAAAAAAAAAGTTTATAGGATGATAAGGCTTGGAATCAGTGGAATCAGCAAGCATAGATCGTCTAAGAATGGGAAGCTAGCTCCCAAAAATTATTGGACAAAGCTATTCACAAAAGCTAATTGCATTTGTCAACCATTTTCAGAATAGTGGAGGCCATATTGAGAACTTCTTGTCACCAACTTTTCCAAAGTTTAAGTGTTCAAATACATTGCTCCTCAGGGATTCTAGCTTCCCCTTTTCTTGAATTGAGGTGCAGTGGCTTGTCACATTATGACTTCACAAAAAAAAAACAAGATCACCAAGATCAAAATCACAGAAATGTGGATGGAATACATTGAGATCAATAAGGTGTCAGTGGAGGCAATTGGAACTGCAGTGTTTTTTCACAAGAAGCATGCAGAGTCAACTCAGTTGGAAGTATTTAAGGTGTAGAATTTTGAGGGCTTTGCAGGACTGCTCTGGTGTTTATCAGGAAGTAAAATTTCTCTCCCAGGGTGAGTATTACTTCATGGTACAGAAAAACTAGAGCAAAAACTCTTCATGTCACTACATGCTTCTCCTGAAAAACAGTGTTACAGAAGAAAGGAAAGAGCCATGACTCTCTACTCAGGGGCTTCAGGTATGATGCTGCCATTGAAGAGAAGATCGTAGATGAGTCCTTCTCGTCGTTTTCCACTACTTTTGGATGCTATACAACCCTGATGAATTCCACCTGGTCCAAAACTGAAGTGCATTTCTGTCCCTCCATCCACAAACTCTGACTGTAATCAAGGAGCAGAGGATTCTCATTGAAGCCAAGGAACTCATTTAATTTTCATCCTTCTCAAAAGGATAAGAGGAAATAATCAACACTCACTGTCACCTCCAGCTTTTCACCATTCACCCAAATGTCCAATGTGTCCTTCTCTGCAATGGAAAGTATTTCATGCAGTCACAACATGACAGAGCAAGTTCATTAAATTACTGATCAAGAAGTTCCAAGACTGCCTTCAGCATTCAGAAGTAGCATATTGGAGTAAGACAGAATCAATTCCCCTATGTTGACTCATTTTACTATGTCAAACTCTATCTTAACTTAACTCTCTTAAGTATGGTGGTCAAAAAATTAGTGCCACAAATATATATTTTTGCACTTCTTCTGCATGCAAAAATATAACCAATTTAAAAAAAGTTGAGAAAAATTTAGTTCAAAAGTTAAAAAACTGAAAAATAAAACTAGTGCTTCTGAGGCAAATTTTCCAATTCAAATTCCATGCTTTAAAGAGTTAAAATAGAAATAATATTTCTTATACTGACTTAGGTCACCCCTGAAATTATAATGATTGCATCAATCAGTATGTTCATTGTAATATTCACCCTTTATAGGGTACTGTTACAATAGTGTACCATCTCTGCAGAATTTTGGCATATGAAGGGTTAAGCCCTTGGCCATCAATTGAACAAATCAGGTTCCCACAACTGAAGAAAGAACCAGATGCATATTAGTGAAAATCACAAAGGATTTGAATACTTTGAAGGAAATTAAAGTTTCATAGTGTCATGATTGAGGGCACAGTACTCTGTGATCCTCCAAAGAGATGAAGACATCATCTTCAATGTTGATGAAATATGGAAAGCATGTTGAAGCAGTGTGGCAGGAAACGAACACTGATTCAATAATTTCATACCTAACCAAGTTCTATAATAAACCAAAGTGTAATGGCTGGTGGCCAGTACAAGGAAGAGTTGGATGGTATGAGAGGACAAAACAACACCAGGAAATGGCCAGGAATCTAACTCAGGTCTACTGATTGCCAGTCAGGAGTGCCACAACTACACCAACAAACCCAGAACATTCAGTTGCACCTCTTTGTGCCATTTCTAACACTACAGAAGCCTCTCTAGGAAACATTGACTTAACTTCTTTGTGATACTTGGGAGTGCTAGTTTTCAATCAATGCCTGGATTGCTCTTTCTGATGAAAGACTCTTCAAAGCCCATAGATTAAATTTCTCATTTTTGCCAAAATTTTTTTCAAAAGAAAGTAATGCTCCTAGGCACAGCTTCTTTTGAGGCAGGGCTGAGCCAAAATTTACAAATAGCAGCAAAGAATGGACTGGATAAAAAATATTCAGTGATGACTGGTGTGGTCTGAACACCATTCCAAGGGAAGGAAGGCATACCGAGAACAACTCTGTAGTCTTCACTAGGCAGAGACACCATCCAAGTTTTCATGATCTTGCTCTGAGTCTCAGTGAATTTCTTGTAGCTCTTTCCATCCACCTCGAGATGATATTCGTAGGAGAAGGACCCAATGGGCGAAATACGAATTATGCACCTGTGCCGACCGATTTGAAACGATTCACTCCCGACCAGCTTAAACATCCATTCATTGTTCAGCAACTCCTGCAGATTCCCCATAAAATGACTCGTTAAGTTCAGACTTAAGACTATTCCGAGTTGTTTAGGCCTAAGTTGCTAGCTGAATAAAGTGGCGTCAAAGGCGAACCTTATCGTCGACACGAATGACTCTCTTGCCGGACGTGGTGCCATGCTCGAATTCCACTCTGTGGAGGCCATCCGAAAGGGGGACATCCCATATGGCCACCAAATCCCCTTTCCCCACTTCCCTCTCTCGCTTCTCGGACATTGAGAGAAACCCAAGAGTATGCCTCCTAGCTAAACTCCACGGGGATTCCCACTTGAAGTACACAGTATCACAAGCCAAAGACACGTGAACACCATGAACGGTAACAGCAGCTTACCTGACATCTGAGAGGAAAAGAGAGAGTAGCAGCTCAATTTATTCTCCAGCAGATGTCGGTTCTGTCCAATGTACTGCTGTGGATTTCGCCAGGTCTGCTGCCTACATCTCTCCATGGCCCTCTGCTGTCCACGGAGGTTGTATAAAGTTCGCTCTTTAGTCTAAGTGCATAACTTAAATTTATGGTTACCGTATCGACAGGTAGCACACTGGGTGCTTTCACTATCCTAGTCGGCTAGGGCTTGGCGGAAGTGAGCTCGCCATCCGAGCTAGCCTCGAGAAGGTGGGGTGAGGATTGTTTCAAGAATTTGGGAAGAATGACGCGATAAAGCCGTTCGACTTGAATCGCGAACGGACTTGTTGTCAGTTGATAAGTTTTGGTCAATGGGATATGGAGAGTGAAAGGGGACTTTCTCTCGACGGAATTTCTTTGTCGACAACCGTTGCGTTATGCATTGCGATAGACATCGAAACGGTTTCACAAAGTAGTGTAGATATCGAAGTAGGCACCGAATAGCAATCAGCTACTCAGTTTTCATGCTCTATTGTTCGGAGCGCGTCGTTTGAGAGTCTCAAGTCGAGCCTCGAGGCAAGAGTTGCCTCGTTTTCCCCTTATGGTATGATGCCTTTCCGGGTTCCCAGTCATTTAACTTCTCGAGAATTGACGTGTTTGGGGAGTATCAATAATCATAAGTGTCATATCCACAGGGTATATTTCTTGGTGGTTTTAAGTATTGGCACATGCGTTAGGGTGCTTCTGCTTGGTTTCAGCCGAAAAACTAGAACTTCACCTTCGATCTCCGGAGTAAGAACTCCGGGAACCATCTATACATACTCAATGTGAATGGATTGGTCTCGTACCTAGATTCCGCATTTTGGAACTCAAGTAGAGGCATAGAAGGTGGATGGCCCCACACACGATCGAATTTAAATTCCTGTTCAGAAATGGAAGGACGGGATGGCGCACAACGTCGCGCGAAATGTTGCCAACATAGGCGTAGCATGGATGGAAAAAGTATGGGGCACGGTTGCTCGGAGACACTGTTCTCATGTATTTCATGCGTCTTTTCCTTCTTACTTTCGCTTCTTTTCTTGAAAAGGGGTAAGGGAGCACGTATTCTCCCCCCCCCCCTTCCCCGACTCCCTCGACGCCACGTCTCTGGTTGTCAATGTTACCAATGTGCAATATTCCAGTTGTATCTCAATATTGTTCGAAAGTTGGCACAAATTTCAGATATTTCCTCTAACGATCTCCAGTTGAATCCCGAGGTCTCACATACTTGCTAGTTTATTTTTGTAATCGTTTTCCAAGAATCCTCGAGGAAATCGATTCATCGGCACGATGTCGGGCGAATGTTCATAGCGACGTTGACATCTCGTGGCGCTTCGGCATCGTGCCAACGCCGCTTGAAAATCGACAGTCATTTATCGCATGACATTTTCACTGGGATCAATCGAGGATCATGAATTCGGTGTTTGAGAAGAACCTCGAGGCGACGAGGAGCCCAGAGCCAGGGGACAATCTCGTGCGGCTAAAACTACTTTCCTTATTTCGCCACCAGATCAACTGCTAGAAACTCCAAATTGCGTCGATGATGATCGCAATCGAAAGTGAGAATGCTGTTACGAATGCCCAAGAGCTTCGGGTTGCCGTCCCCGAAAATGTCGGGTCGACGGGAATGCTTCCGACTCGAGACCACGTCATCGACCTCTGCGCCCGGCATTCTTTCACTATCTTCGCATGCGAATTCCGGTCGATCCGTCCGAATGGAATTAACTAGTTCTAATTAGGGTACCAGAAGTAAAGCATCTCATCTTACGAGACAGAAGCAGGCACGATTGAATGTGTTCCTCTCGTCCCCGTGACTGTTCAGACCTACTTCGTATGGGAGTGAACCGAATCGAGTCCGCAGCCTTTATATGAGAGTGGACTGAAACGAAGTGGACGATAGAGCGGGAGAATCTGAGCACAGATTACGGCTCTGGCCATCCTTTTTCCTTCGATCTGGACTTAAAGGTTGACTGCGTGGTGAAAGGACCTTTATTACTCCCCAGGGGCCAACCCTTTTCTTTTAAATAGGGGGTAAGAGTATCCTACCATATAAAACATCACGAGCTAAGGTTTTTGCGTGAGGATTACGTAAAATGAAATATCAATGTATTTCAATCGGAATAGAATGATTGAATGACATCGATTTCCGATCGGCGTTGACTCAACTCTCATGTTGGGCCCACGGAACATTTTGATGAAGGGCTCTCATCACTCATCAATATTGGGCTGACCGTTGACAATGATGGCAAGAAATGTTGGCCCAATATTGAGTCGAGTCCAATGTCTGAGCGGTTGCCTCAAACTCTGGCACATAAGATAAAATTCGTGTGAAGATGCACAAAAATGGGAATCAGTCTCTTTGAAGGTCAAAAACTACAATTAGATACATAGATTAGGAAATTCTTGGCACTCTCAAGTCTTGCATCGAAAGAAAATTTAGATGTACTCTGCAACAATTCGTGAGAAGCCATCTCACTTGGGACTCACTTTTCTCATTGAATGGCTCTTTGTAATTATGCCGTCGTGGGAAAGACAACCCGTTACTCCAACTAGTAAAAAAAAATTCCGCAGATACGCATAAAAAAAAGATTATGCTATTGTGTCATCCCCGCGTGATAAGACACTCGGGTCTTACATTCATCCATGAAAATGTAGGACGAAAGATAGGTCAGCTTTAAATACAGCGATCCGAGAAATATCTGAGACCTAGCAGGAGTCTAAGCCTGGAGAGGAAATGAGTTCCGGCTGGAATGGCGGAAGGTGAACGATCTTTGCCGTTCGCATATGGCATGAGAGCATAACTGAATTTTCCAATGGAAGAGTTTGAGCACTCGGCAGGAATGCAAATAGGACTTCCGGGGACATAGGAATCTTCTTTTGCCATGTTGGCAACGGGAAACCTCGTCGATCCAAAGAAGAGGTTTTTTCTATTTTCCGTCCGTTCAAGAATGGGTTGGATTTCCATGCACGGTCCTCATAGGTGAATGTACCAGGAAAGTAGTTAAATAGAGGCACGTTCGAATATCCGTCTCCTTTTGGCTAAACCTCCATAATCCATTGCGAGTTAAGAGAGTTGGAGAGAAAAGGCGAGGTCCGCAGTCATTTTTTGGAATGCCAAGCCCTTCGTCAAATATGGGAGAACAGGTAACGGAACTTCTATTATTTCATAATCTGACCTGAAATCCAACCAAAGTATTGCAAGAGGCGCTCAACTTTTGCTGGGCATATCATGAAATAAGTACGAATTCAGGCTATTCATAAATGGTTATGAAACGCAGATAAACAGATTCTGGATGAAAAGGCTTTTCCTTGTGCCGGAGTACAATGACTCCGTTTCATCGACTCCGAGCACAATGCATCCGTTTGACTCTCATGGCTGGGCACATGGGTATTGTCCATCAAGTGTCACTTGCTGCGGCATGCGCGAACTAATTCCATCATGCAGTCGCATTGATAATTTCGAACGAGGAAAATAAAAAGAAAATTAAAAAGAAACCGCACTAGAACAATGAAAAAAAAAAGAAAGAAATTTGCACTGGAAAGACTTGAAATACACAGTGAATACTAATCTCTTTTCTTCCCTTCCATGCACTGACTAGACAAGACGTATCGAGATGGAAGCGTCATTGCTGTTGAATGCCTACTCAATACGCGTGTTTCTCCTTATGAGTTGTGGAATTGAGTGGCGGGGGTGGGCTAGGATGGTGTCTCAAGCATCGCACGGCTGCTTCTTTTCATACCATACTACTTTTCATAGAATGGAGGGCCGCAAAGAGAAACATGCATATGAAAAGGAATTTTTGCCAGTGGGTGTGAAGAAAAAATACTCTCCACGCATCGCATTGATGTATACACTCTCGGAACATAAAGTTTGTTGTATGTTTCCCAACAAGTGTAAGCTTTTGTCCTGGAAGCCTGCCACGATAAATTCTTCTGTTAATCGAATACAATGGGAGGCACGGGCGTCCTTCTGAGATGCGTTCAGTGTGCAGCAACAATAACTTACTGGGAAAGAACCGCGTTGAGAGAGAACCAAATGTGTTGAGCTCTAAATATGACGGCCGTGGTGCGTGTCATCCATTATCTAACGCCATTCCCGTAAGCAGCGAGGAAGCGCTAATTCTTCCAGCTATGTAGGCTACGAAATTAGACTTGACACTTACCCAGGGACTCGTGGAGACTTTTCAAGTATGGGTCCCTTGTTCCCACGAGAAAGACCTCTGCCAGTCTGGAGGGATTATCCACGGAGCCAATGATATCTTAGTTTGCTTCTCGTTTCTCTTCAGTATGACGTTGGGCAATTAAATTCTGAATTCTTCAGATGATTCCCTCTACAGGGAGCCACGTCATTTCATTATTTTGTGCCATGCACTTCCACTTTATTAGGTTTTCCTTTCCTCCTTTCTACAGGTACTTTTTTGTGAAAAGAGTCTATCACGAGGGACAAAGGTTTCTCGACGGAAGCCAACTTCGAGAGAAAAGATGGGAATGTCGACGATGAAGAAAAGTAGAGCTCGGTATATAATAGAATTGAGCAGTGACGAAGGCAGAAGGGCGAGGAGGGTGACATTGGCATTGCAGCCGATCAACAGGAGGAAAGTGAGAAAAATCTGGGACACACATACAATCTAGGAATGTACAGGCAGTGTAGTGGGTGGGCAATTCATGACAGGGGCTCGGCTCTCTCTCTTTCTCGTCCTAAAAGTAGGCTAAGCACGTTTTTTTTCTTCCTACGACCGGTATCTGTTGAATACATCCTCTACATCCTCGTTTCTTGCCCAGACCTCCCTCTCTCTCTCTCCCAATATCCTCTTCGCTATCAACTGCAGGCCCTCGCCTCGATCTCCTCACATCCGTTCGCAGATAGAGCCGACATAGATATAGCGATCGCTGCTTACATTTAGGCTTTGGACGCCTGGAATTGGATCGGACTACGGGGTGAATAGGAG